TTGCCCTCAAATGACTATGAAGTGGTTCGAGCTTTCTCCATCATAGTAGGTCAGAATTGGCATGCAAGACACCACGTGGTTGATCAGGTATTAATATATGAATATAGTATTTGATTTGGCTATACTGACGAAAACTCAAAGCAAGTCTTCCTTGCCAAACACCTCGTTTCCAATATTGACTTCTACTGGATAAACGTACAACTCCCATCATAATCATCAGACCTAGAAACTTGCATAACTCCATACTGGTCACTGGGTGTGACCATCCAGATCCTCTTTTCTCTTGTCTCTTATGATTCGCATAAGCATTTGTCCCACCAACTACTTGACTCAGAATGTGACGATTCCAAAACAATTCAAAAAATGCAATTGGAGTTAGGTCAATATCCTCTGAGACAAGTAATTCTGGCTCGCTTTCAATGAATTCTAATGGCTGGAAGGTTTCTGGAGGAGCAATAAAAGTATGTGCATTGGAAGTACTAGAGTTTGGGAAATCCTGTTCGGACTTCGTTCGTTTTGATTGTTGTTGACAATTGGATTGTGAGGACTTTCGAGCATGCTTTGAGGACATTGTTATTGGATTCTCCGGGCTGTTCGAAGTTGCAATTTTCAAGTAGTGTTTACCGATCACATAGAAAAAGCCTCCACCGATATGTGACGTTGAGAGGTATGTTGCTACTAGCTATTAAAGGTTTAGTCCTATGCGCTAATGCATGAGAGAACTTTTACCAGACCCCCTCAACCGTCCAGAGGATACGACTTACACGCACCCCCCGGGCACACCCAAGCTATACTCGTAGAGGATGCCCGGTCTGTGTGGAGCAGTGCTAGATGAGGTGATGGTGGTGATATTGACTACTACTACTTTAGACTGAGATCGGATATGGCGCGTTGATAACTGTACTAGAAGTGCCGGAGCCTAGCTAATGACAGGCGGGCAAGCTGGGCATGTCCGGCAATCCTACTGACAAAAAAAACCCCTCCCAAATCTCGGTGGTGATGGTTGAATGTAGCTTGGTGCATTCCCCACCTTCTATCACACTCCCGGTGTGCACAAAAAAGGCCCTCTCCAAACGAAAGAAAAGCCAACTATAGCGGAGCCTTCCTTCCCTCGAGCATCCGAATCCGGCCAAACAATCCGGTATGCAGCCATCTACTAACAATATATGAAGCCAATTTCCCAACATCTCCCAAGAATCTTGCCCCTCCCATTCTGTATCTATCTACCCATCCATACACCACTCTCCAATCCACTCACTCCTCCACTCACACAGGAGGGAAGGGACTTGAAGTTTCCTTTGTGGTAGTCTTTTTTCATTTCATTTTGTTGTAGTAAAGCGCCGGCCGCGCCGCCACCCCGACTTTTTTCCACCCTCCCCCGCTCACCCGCGATTACCGATAGTTTTTCATCCCCCCTCAGAACAAAGCTGCACCTCTCTCTGCTTATTTCGGGTATCCCTCGGTGGTCTCCTTTATATATACAAAAAAGAAGTAGATCTTCTATATATATATATATATTTCTTATTTTCGGAAAAAAGTTTGATATAATGGGACCAGAACTTTTGATCCCGGCGCTTGCGAGTTTGCTATACTTGCCTAGTAGGTGTCTTTCCGCCCTTTCCGCCCAGTGGTATAAAAAGTTAACGAGTGATTTGATAGCGCTGAACCTGGATGCACCATTGCCTAATCCAGTTCCACAAATGGTGGACTTTGGCATGCAGGGGTATGGTGGGGGTGAGTTTGGGGATGGCGGAGGGTATGGCGGAGTTGACGGCGGCAATGGAGCCGGTGTCGGTTTGATGTATGAGAGTGCGGATACGACTGCCGATGTCGCGGCGGATATTGATGCTGATACCGACGCTGATACTGATGCCGATGCTGATGCAAACGGGTCCGGTGTAACACTCGAATATGAGAACGCTGGGGCGGATGCTGATGCTGCTGCTGATATTGACACCGATGCCCATGCCGAAACAGACACCGATGCTGATGCTGATATCGACGCCGATATGGATATGGATATGGACATGGATGCAGAAATGGACGAGGGCTATTACGGCGATGAAGAATGAACAACGACAGCACCAAAACCCCCTTCATTACAACCGCAATCGCTCAAAAAGAAACCAGACAAAACTTAAGCGTGGACTGAAATATATCATTTTCCTTTCCACCATATTTACTTTCACTGCATTTATAGTTCATCTATTCCTCGTTTTTATCCTTTTTCCAATTCGTTCGTACTGTACCTTATCGTAGATTACGGGCGGGGATGGACTGAGAGGAGTAGAGCAAAATCATCATAAGAGATCACTCGTCCGTTCATTGACAGCACTTTTTCGGCGCAGTTCCCCGATCCCCGCCTGGCAAAAGCGTGACCCCAGATACTCCGCCTCCAGTCAATACCACTGTGAGGGATCCCTCTATTAAACCTTTCAATTTGTCGTGATCCACGGCTTTTAGCGTGAAATCAACCATCCCTGCCCCCTTTTTTGCGCGACATCAGACCCCAGACACCTCGGTGGCTATTACTGCCACAATGGGAACACCTTTGCACACGTCCAGTAGCGGACCATAAGCTACGCGAATGGCAGCTATCGTTTCGAGCCCGTCTGATGGAGGCATTTGCGGGTTTGTGGGGGTCAGTGTCTGCCGGTATTGCTCTGCGGATCATATCGATTGCATTTTGGCCATCCGCCGTCACTTCGACACTGCAACCAATTTTGTCAAATCGCTTTTTGGTGTCAACTTGATAGGACCATTTGTCCCCCATAATTGGTATGTTGGCGCCCGGGATTTGGATAGGTTGCGGTGGAGCTAGTGGCACGAGGTCTCTAGTTTGGAGGAATATGCCAAGCGTGCCAGAGAAGGGGTCTTTTCGATGGTGTAGGGTGATCCTGGATGAAAGGAGGGTGCTACAAGGGATTCTTAAGTGGAACGTGGTTCCGCAATCAAGAGTTGAGGCACAACTTACCATGGATTGCTGCGAACTGCTTTCTTTATGACGAAGTGATGAAAGGAGAAAGCAGATATAAATTTTTTGCAATACTCGGGCCTAGACTAGAGCCAAAATGTCTAGCTAATATATCATCTGTTTGAACGGAGGAGAGGGCCCCAACATCAGTATCCAGCATCCTTTAATCAAGCCCGTATATATAAAAAGTTCTACTACCTTAATCTAGAACTGAGGTTTCGTAGAAACTCTAAGCCGTATGTGTAGAAACCTTCATTCGACCTATCCCGCAGAGGTAAACTTGGGGGCCTAAGAAACAAGTCACATATTTCTGCCTTTCTACATGAGGGAGACTCATATATTAGACTACGGAATACTGATCGCAATCTTTCAATTACACCATCTTCTGCGATATGCGACAGCCCAACCAGCCGCCAAATTCACTCTGTGTAGTCACTAAAGCGTCGTCGGTGATAAAACCAATGCCCTCCTTAGACGTGCTTTGGTAAGTGGGGCCCACATCCACTATCAGGTCCGGGGGCACAATAAAGTGTGAGTCGACCGTAAGCTACCAGGCTTCAATTTTGTCGAAGTCTATGAGGTCACTCATCACGAAAACTATCGAGTAGTATATTGTTCCTAGTAATTGGGTATATCAGCGCTCGCTACAAGGGACACGTATATATGCACATTCACTAATTCCCCGTCGGACTGGTGATCAGACAGGAGCAGCTTTTTCGGGTGGATCAGTCATCTCACCATGAGAGCCAACGTGCCAGCGTGCCCGCAGCAATCATCTACTTCCTACACCTCTGCGTATAAACTCGTCGCAGGCGTTTGCGCCATAGCCTATCCCGCCCATTCGTGCCTTCCCCGGAGAATTCTTGACATTTTCCGAAACCTATTCGAAGAGTGCCTATTTCCACACATCCGCTCGGGCGAGTTCAACTGGGTAAGTGATCAGGTGTTAGCCCCTCAGTGTTATTCGTAGTCGGGAGTAGGAGGCGAATCCGGCGGTACGGGGACCCCTCTTGGTCCTCGGTAATCGCTCGATCAAAAAGTTTGGCAGCAGCACCGCTTGGGTAAATTATCGTATTATATTCCCGACATTAGGATTTGCGGTGTTGGGGAGTGATCCAGCGAGGAAGAGTGACTGAGTTCATGTGAACCGGTTGGTCCGGAACCAAGTGTTGATTTTCGGGAAGCTGAGGATGTGGAATTGTTCCTAAATTTGAATCCGCGGTTTGGACACATATTGTGAACGTTGGTGGTGTGGCGGAACAAGTCCTCCCGCGGGAGCCGGGTCCTGTCCCTTGAGCAATCACCGAAGCGTATGCGGTTCTGTACTTGTATGGCACAGTACAGTACAAAGCCATGACAAAAGTGCTCGTCACTTGCCCTTTTCACACCAAAAGTGGCCATTTTTGCAACAATACAACAACGCCATGTCAACTTCAATTAATTCTATATTAGTTTCAGGCCTTGATATGGACTTCCCAATACCTCAATGTTGGCGGGATTAGATGTGCCTTGCATTGTTGTTGGTCAGGCTATGGAGGTGGCAATTTTCAAAATGAGTATCATACCTTTTCCATAGGTCCCCCATATCATACAATTTTCGAGGCTTGGCAAAAATATTTAGACAACTTGTGCCTCTCTTGCTCATGGAATGGCCAATTCACAATTAATTGCAGCTAAAGATAAATTAAACCCCTAGGTTACTGGCTACTTACGGCTATATTTCGGTAATAATTGGTAAATTTATTGGGGTTCTAGAATCAGTGAGGATTTAGTTGGGGTAACTTTACCCGACTAACGATGACTCATGTCCAAGAACTATATAATCGTGGCTTGGAAGATTGAGAAACTCTAGCAGTAGATGGGGTTACTGCCTTGAGTACTGTACCGTAGCTTACCGGTAGGCACAATGACTGCTGAGGAAAGCTAGGATGGAGTGACAAATGATCGTGATATCAGTACGGTATCGGTAGAGCCTTTGCACAACGAGTTCAGAGGGTGCCTTCCAAAGGACACTAATGGTAGTACTCTAGTGATAAGTTTTACACCCCTTTCCCCGATACTTGGATAAATGTGAGAACAGTGGAATGTGAAACGGCATACGATTATGGGACCCGAGGCCAACGTAAGGCAAACACAAAAAGTTCTTAATCATGATGGGATATAATAAACATCGCAACTCGCCCTCAGCCACAGTAGAACGAGCAACTATCCAGTATAGCATACGCACTTAAAACAAGCATCAATTACCGGTATGTTTCTATCATTAACCCCTACGCCCACACCATTGCTCAAATATTGTTTTGGTTCGAGCAAGAAAAGCCACGAAGAAATGACAAGTGATGCAGTGTCACCGCCAGCGGCCTTCGGAAAGTTCGCTGAGCGAATCTCCTAATCCATCAAAGCCAAAACAGAAGGTGGAAGGGTGAAAAAAGTGAAAAAGGACCCCATTCCTTATGAATCAAAGAGAAAAAAAGAAAAATTCAAACGTAAAATCATAAACTCCCTAGAAAAGTATGTGGCAAGAAAATTTTTATCCCCAATACCCATTAGAACGTCTTCAACCGTCTCGTCCAGTCTTCCTCGGCGGCTCTTGCTTTTAACTTTGACGGTTGTCCATCAGGACATCCCTCCCTTTCTAACCTCATGTTGAGGATCAGCTTAATTTCCGGGCACCAGTTCCAGATTTTGTCTCGCTTTTCCTTGTCATCCCAGACTCCTTCAGGTAGACGTGCTCCACTCCATCCAAGATGATAACCCATGGGCTCGTCATGCCAGACTTGCTCTACAGAAAACCTCTGTTCGGTCGTACCGTTGGCCATCTTGGCACCCGGAAGGAGCTGAAGACGTTGAACCAGCCAAAGATCCTCGAGGGCACCGTCGTTTTCAGGGCGGTGGTCGTTTTCAAGAACTTGGATCATACGGCTGACACGACGGAGCGAGAGTCCACCGTTACCACCGAGACCATCACCAGGTCCCCTGTACTAATGTCAGCAACTGCGGCTTGCGAGATGGGTTGGGCTGAGCTTACCAAGGAGCTCCAACGTAATCGTAGTCGAGCCAGGAGTTAAGCGAAACGCCGCTGTTTGCACACATGATACTGTCCGTTTGGAAAACCAAAACCCATTCGACTTGAGTACGTTTGGTCTCCCTTCCATCGGGGCCTGTGACCATTTGATCAATGTAGGGGTCAGTCCAATCCCAACTAGATTTCCCACCAACCCACTTCCAGAATTCGATGTCGGTCATAGTCCTAGACAGCGGCTCTTGTCCCTTGACGGACCAGGTTTTAGGAAGAACGACCATCTCGAGCTTTCCCCTGGCCTCCTGTCGCTGCACGCCTAAAGACTTGTTTAAGAACTGTATAGAAGCCTCAGAACCGACAAACTGGAATTTCCAATCCTCTGGTACGACGGAGATCATGTGAAGAAGGAGGGGAGCAACGTGAGCGACGGGGCGATCCTCGATAAGCAAAGCGACCTTGGATTCGTTGAACTTGGGGGCAGGAGGTTCTTCATGGGGCTTCTGGATCTCCGCTACCGGCTCAGGGTTGCATGTAACGTTTGGAAGAAGGTCAGGCGAAGCACTATTCGCCGAGCTCGGAAGATTAATGCTTGAGACGGTCTTTGCTGCAGACGGACCGAAAAGGAATAGAAACCATCTGGAAAAGTTATCCGTTAGATCTAAAGCAAATAACGACCGACCGAAAAGACGAGGAAAGAACTCACAAGGCGAAAACAGACGCGGTACCGATGATTAAAATCTTCTTGCCGGCTGTCTTGAATGGAAGATGGTTCGAAAGCCAGTTGTATTTTTCGTGTGCATAATCCATCGTGGTGGGGAGGGAGGAGCGACCCTCAGATAAAGATTAGGGAAAATTATCCGGTGAGCTTTGAACTCGTAGGTCGGATCCTGGGAAGAAAAAGGTTCACGGCGACAAAGATGTTCGGGAGCGGAGGGCAAGAACCAAGAGCGAAAGAGTTGGTTAGGTTAGAGGGAAAACGAGAGTTCGCTTGTGGGTGGGCCCGCCTGGGGTTTGTTCAAATTCTGACGTTTAGAATTGGAGGGAGGAGAAAAGGAGGGTTGGAGGATTAAGGGGCTTCCTTCTGGCCCAAATAGGGAGAACAGGAAAGAGCAACTACAGTGGCACGAAAAAGAGACCGGGGGGGCAGAAAGACCTATTATCCAGTATGGGTACGAGTAGAGGAACACTCCAGTAAAAAAGTTTTGCCTGAGGAGGAAAAAAGCAAGTTGAGGATTAGCGGATATCACCCATTTTCAAGAACCCAAATTAGACGAAAGGAACAACTGATGGCGGTTGTTGATATGGGCAGAGGACAGGAAATCAGCGAAATCCATGCGGCTGAGGACCATTCCAAATCGGGAGGAAAAGGTACGGAAATAGTATTAGTGCTTGTGAGAACCTTGCAGCAGGGAGCTTTCGTTGGAGGTCGTACTGAGGGTTACGCTCTGAAGTATCAGATATACTGTGAATCCTCGATTCGGTCGCTTGCCAGACGATCACGGCACTCGAGTGCCGCCGGTACAAGTACAAGTACCAGTATGGTATCTTCGACAGAAAAAACAAAGGATTCGCAACTTTTTGCCCAGCAAGTTCTTTCGCAACCTTTTAGGAGAGCTATCACACAATATGGCAATGCTCAATACAAGTTTGATAATTCCCCAGGAAACGTAGAGCTGGCCTATTCCCTCATTTACCCTCGGTATGATACCGCTAATTAACGTTTGTATGCCTGGGGTTTGCCCGTCTTACAGCTCCCCCGGTCGGCGTTTCGGTTCCAGAGTAGCAGCAGTGTACTAGTACAGGTACTCAAGCAAATTGACTTACTCGAGCACAGTACCAACAGACCATCCCTTCAAATAATTGGGACTCTCATAATCAAGACAAAGCCTTTTTAAACTCTCCCATCTTTAACTTAGAGTACTGTACCAGACCTCTGGGCAAAGGAATCTTCGACGAATCCAGAAACCCCAACGATAACGGGACACAAGGGGCCCACAATCGGTAATGTTTCACATTCACACCTGCCACTGTCCTGCCATCGGAGGGGTTGTGGAACCCCTGTCTACGAGTACTTGTACCGCTGAAAAGTGTTTACGTGCTGGTGTCCTATCCGCAGGATCAGGATTAAGTGATCTGTCCCAAGTTCACCGAATCTAAAAAATCAACGGGACGAAAAACGGGGAAGGTCTTGTTGTTTGGATGCTCAACGCAACTTAAGTTGGCTATTGTGCGGTGTGTCTAAGGCTACAATACCGGTAGGTATGAGCAGAGCCAAATTACCCCCCCAGTATTTCACCACCAGTGCTGCATCAGATGCCGGAACTGTAGGATACATATGATACCAGGCCTGCGATCGATAAAGGAAGTAAAGAAATCCCCAACGCACGCTAAGTGGAAGTATTTCGAGTAAGTACCGTGAGGTATGGGCTGGTATGGGCCGGTCGGCACTGCCTTCGCTTCCACCCACGAGGGCACGATAATGCACCTCAAATTTACTCGAGGGGGCGGAGCTTCCATGCACGCTTCCAACAGCAAACTCTAATTTTGGAAACACACCTTAGAAAATCATTCGTATCGGGCCCAGTCACGTGGTCTCTGTGACCAAGCCTTATGCATTGAGGAAGCCGCTGCTTTTCAACACTAGCTACAAGTACCACGCACAGTGGTTTATGAGATGAAAGGCCGGTTGAGAAGGCTATTATGGAGGGCTTATTGCACTACACCAGTAGCAAAGTCGAGTGTTCACTTGGATTTTTCTCTCTGACCCGCTGCGGGACGGGTTAGTGTTGGTTCGCTGGTGATCCTTGTACGGAAGTTTACGCATTTGCGCTTGGATGATTGGCACCATTTCCTGGCACGCTTGGTCACCCGATTTGTGTCCCAAACCGACACCACAGCCGATCAACAAGTAACCTTATTCTGTCACCAAGCAAGTCCGAGCGAGTCCTGCATATATTTATAGCCTCCTTCCTATGGAAAATAGATAGCTATTGCCTATTACCACTTCTCGACATAAGGCCTGATATCCAACTCCCAGGTGAACGCCGTCCTGGGTTGTGTGTGGAGATGCCAGTACGTATCCGCAATCTTGCCATGGCCGATCGTTAGCTCTCCTATTCTATCCCATTTCTCTGACAGGGCCAGGCTCACAGCATCAGGACTAATCTTCGCATCCTCTGCATCAAGATTCCACTCCTTCGTCCCCGGAACATCAATAATTCCGTCAATGACAGCATGAGAAACATGCACGCCTTGAGCGCCGAACTCCTTTGCAAGACCCTGACTAAGTGCTCTGGTGGCCCACTTCCCCGCAGCAAAAGCGGAGAAATTAGCCGAAGCCTTCACCGAAGCCGTAGCTCCGGTGAATATGAGCGTAGGTGGATACTCCAGATGCTTTGAAGCGAGAAGAAGTGGGATGGTGAGCTTTGAAAACAAGAATGCTCCTCGACTACCATACGTTACAGGGCCCTGATATTAGCATCCTGATGGGGACGAAAACGAACGTGCAGCTACATCATAACTCAACGCACCCTTGAATTCCCAAGACCCTCTCCCAATCTTCCAGTGCTGTCTCGAGGAACGGTGCTCGGTTCCAAGACCCTACGTTAAACACCGCGGCGGCCGTTGGAGATCCTGGGTAGAGCACCCTGATAGCGTTGAATGCTGTTGTTATGCTTGCCTCTGAAGATACGTCCGTTGGGATACCGAATGCTGTCCCACCGCTAGCTTCTACAGCTGAGACTACCGGATCAATCGAAGCGGGTGATCTGGAGAGGATTATGACGTTGTAGGCTCGGGCGAAGCGGCGGGCAATGGACAAGCCAGTTCCGGTACCGGCACCGGCTATGATCGCGAGGGGTTTGGTGGACATTGGAGTTAGAATCGGGATTGATATTGAGATTGGGATTGGGAGGATGTATGATAGGTAGACTAGATGTAAGAGTTGAGAAAGCTTTTGATACCCCGCTTAAAATTCTGGAGTTCGGCTAGATTAAAGTTACACTAAGTGCTTAGAAACAGCAATGCATGACGCAATAAGCATGGTGGACGACTAGCTGATTACAAACTATTCCGCCCATCGATGATCCTGCCTCCTCGGCCGCAGCAGTTGCTCCTTAGTACAGTACTCGTACAGTGCGGTACTCGTAGAGTACTCGAGTAGATTATCAATTGGCTCGAATTCCTTTTTCCATGTAGAGTGATTGAGCCTCACACTTGGACGTCGGAGTTGCCCCTTCTGGTAAGGTCTATTGTATTTTTTTTTTTTTTTTTTTGTCTCAGCGGATAGGTGAACGCCAGTTTTCTTTCGGGGGCGATTCCGCTCCTTTATCCGAACAGGGGAATTCTGGACGTCTTGGTTATGGTGCTGCAATGCAGTTACTAGTATTATTCAAACATGTGTCTTGTACCCGTACTGTACCGTACCGTATAGTACCGATGGGTTGCCGGATTTCTTATCGATTGTAATTACTAAACAGCCCGGGCCTACAATGATAAATGGTCCTCGGGAAACGGCGAGTATTACTTGACTGGAGCACATCCTGAGGGACCTTGAGTAGGACATCAGTGGTGCTCGAGTACTCAAGTAGCGAAAAGTCCATTGCCGAAGGAGTAAGAACTAGATCCCCCCCCTTTGTTAACCTTTCCCACTTCCCGATATCTCGATAACATATAATTTCTCCCCATAGTAATTTATCTAGATTATGGGTCTAGGTGTGCTGGTGTTTCCAGCACCTCTATGTTTGTGTAGAGCATTGATTGTTGAGCATTCCGAGTATCAGAGTAACGTACCCGTACCGGTGCTGTAATTGATAGGTGTTCAGGGTGTGCTATTCTACCGTACTGATAGTTATTATGGGGAACAATGCCCCTCCCGGCACCATACCCGCGGTCTCTCTCGCAGCACAATATCTCCTCCGAGGGAGGTTCCAGTTCACGCTAGCTCAGAAATACGCAGCCTATTCCTGGGAGGTTTTCAACAGAGTCGAACTAAGTGAAGCTACCAACACCACTTTTTTTTTCCTGCGTATTTTCTGGTCCCGGGCGTATCTGACGTTCCCCCATATCCAACAAACCCTAGACCCGGAAATGCGATTCCAAGTCCTTTGCTCAAAATGTCACTGTACGAGGCTGGTGACAAGTGGCGAGCAGTAGTGTACTGTACTGTAAGGGTTTTCCTCTGAAAACAGCCGTATTCACAACCCCCCAACCACTGATCCAGTGAAGCAATCCAAACAAAAATATTTATCTATATGTGAAAACAATTCCTTAGGGGTTCCTTTCCAGCCATTTAGAACACTGTATCTAAACTTGCAGAGGAATTATCAAGGGAACTATGGTTAGCATGATATATTGATCATGGCGAAATTTCTGACGGTATTGCATGGGAAATTGAAGACTCGGCGCTTTTTTCAACTTTGACTTTACAACATTGTATGCCAGAGTAGCTAACAATTCTTTAATAATCTATGGGCACTTGGAGAGATGTTTGACCCACACTATTTATTTTTCAAATTTTTTTGCAGCTTTAGAATGTATTGCACTAGGAGCGTGGAGCAGCGTGCTACATGCTATTCTACTCAACATTTTTGTCGCCGGTCTCATACGGGATAGAAACCGTGCCAAGGTTCTCGTCACCTCGAAAGACTGCCTTCGGGGTCTGACGACACTCCCACGAAGTGACGGGAACCTCGGCACAGTTATAGTGCGGCATAGTACTAGTAGTCTAGAGTATCGGTGCTGTACATGTACATATACAAGACTAGAAAGGCCCCACTCGAGATCTCGAGGGGCATTTGCTCCCGCATGCCTTGGCTCACTGTCTGTACTGTAGATTTACTCAAGTACGAACAGTATTCAAGTGCTAGTAAATTAATGTTGTGCTCGCTGTGCTGTCTTTGCTCATTCAAGTACTTTGCGCTTTTGCCAAGAAGAATGCATCTCAGCTGAATACCCTACTGGCGTGAATACATACTGGTGTTCAATATAATTTATTTATCCTTGTGGACTTTTAGCCAGTGCTAATATATACCCAACACTGGGGTAGCTCTGAGCCTGGATTGAAACGACACAACTACTCTACTGGTGTGATAACCCAACCATGGCTGTCCGAAACAATCTTAGTCGGAGCATGCAGTCTGTTCCAGGGTCGCGAGATTCTTGCGCAGTGAGTACTGTAATACCGGTACCGTAAACCCGCACGGAGGATAGACACCACAGACGGAGCTCGACCAATCAGACTGCGGAGACTTGCCAGATCTTGCGACTCGAGAACCTTGCGACGCCGGGACAGACTGTACCGGTAACCACAACTACCGCAATCACCCGCGGTTGCTTTCAGAACGCGGAACACCTCACGCCTCATCCCCCAAGGTGCCAAGCACCAACCCCCCAAGGCCCCGCTGTCAAGGCGTGCATAAAATATTCTCCAAGAAGTTCATCGCTATAACCTACTGCTTAACTGGTCCTTTTCGTTTTTTAGTACTCGAGTACCGTAGACAGTGTCCCCCTCCTGAAGGAGCTAAGCAGCACTGGACTATCTCGCACACGCAAAGGTCCTCACAAAACACTCGAGGGAGTGCTTTTATACGTCATGCAGCTCTCAGCACTCTTATTCACTCAACTCCCCCAATACTTACTCAACCTCACCAATCCCCCTGCTACTCCCCTCTCTGCTGCTGTCACCAATTCGAGGTCGTTGGTTTTACCTGAGGATATGGCCGTGGCAAATTTTACTCTTCCGGCGTTGCCGTATGCTTATGATGTGAGCTTGATCCCTCATTTGATTTTAATGTGGGGTCCTTCGGGGGGATGGGAGGGGGGCCCTCGGAAGGTTTTGGGTGGCCTGGGTTTGTTTTCGAGAACTTGCGGGAGCTGGTTTGAGCGATCATAGTTTATTATACACTTAACAGATATGAGCTTCCGCAACTTGAATAGTTTTTTATCAATGTTTTTGGGATTTTGAAAGCGGGACTCAATTAACCCTTGGACTTACAACGCTCTGCAGGCGTTGGAACCTTACATCTCCGGCCAAATTATGCAAATCCATCATTCCAAGCATCACCAAACCTATGTCAACAACCTCAACGCTGCCACTGCAAACCACGTCAAGGCGCTCCAGGGAAATGACGTTCGTGCCCAAATTAATCTCCAGCAGGCTATGTACTTTCTCCCCCCTGCGTCGTTTATTCGTTCGTGCGAGATTTTACACTAACTCTCTGCAATAGTAAGTTTAATGGAGGCGGACATATCAACCATTCTCTATTCTGGGCCAATCTCGCACCGGCAAATACCTCTCAGGCCAAACCAGAGTCGGCAGAAAAGCTTACAGAAGCGATTTCGGCCAAGTATGGAAGCTATGATGGGTTTAAAGATGAGTTCATGGGTGTGCTACTAGGGCTGCAAGGTAGCGGGTTCGTACGCAAAAACTCACATTTAGTACTGAAAACGGCTGTTGGATCGGATCTCTGATCTTGTAATGAGATAGATGGGGTTGGCTCGTGAAAGACAAGAAGACCGAGCAGCTTGACATAGTCACCACTAAGGTTAAACCCCCATGGATTCGGATCTCCCTGACGGCCACTAATGGATTTTGGGCATAGGACCAAGATCCTGTTGTTGGCGATCTCGCACCCATCTTGGGTATTGATATGTGGGAGCATGCGTACTATCTCCAGGTAGCTATCTCCTCCGCCATTGGGTGTCTAAGACTAACGAAAGCAGTACTTCAATGACAAAGCTTCTTATGTCAATGGAATCTGGAATATCATTAATTGGGAAACCGCCGAAGGGAGATTCTTGGGCCGAAGCGGAACATTGGAATTGTAGGCGATAGCATATTTTTCTTGAGGACTGTGGAAATTTTTATCTCGCACTTTTCAATAGGGCACCCTCAATTATGGCTTAAGGTGTAGTAGGGACAATACGGCAATTATAATGTTCGTTTCAAAAGTTCCAGAAAGATATGGTGTCCCGTAGTTTCCTCGCTTACTATCCCTAGATAAAAGACCAAGCCTGTCGAGTGATTACTTGTGAATATCGTGAGGACCGAGCAGTCTTAGCACGAATACCCGTATGCCACCATGGTTGGGGGGCACGTACCCCATCTGGCGTCGTCGTACGCGGCCTCTCTGGCGCGTACCTTGAGTTCCTTCCCCTGGGGCTAGATTTCCCTCTCAGGGCTTCGGGGATGTTCCGCTCCTGAGTGCCAATGTTCTTTGTGTCGATGAGTATATAGCCTTAAGGGTTCACGGCTTTCTCAAGATAGGTACCTACGATAATAACAATTATTCCCTAGAGAGACCACTTCTCCAATTCGCTATCTCTCACAGCGCTGCTGTTCACTAAGATTCTGAACTGTACCCTGCTGGCTGACGTACGTGTACTCGCAGTTCTGGGATTACGCACGCAACGCACGCTCTTCGCCCTCTCGTGAGCCGCGACCCCTTTCGTTTGTTTGCCCTCTCTTGTTTCCTCTTGTTTGCTCTCCCGTTTCCTCTCCCATTTATTCTCCCCTCCCTGCCTCCCTCCCTTCCTTCCCTCGCTCCCTTCTTCCTTCCCTCGCTCCCTTATTCCTTCCTTCCCTCACTCACTCACTCTCCTTCTTTTCTTCCCTCACTCCCACCTTCCCTCCTCTCTCCCCCACCTTCCCTCTCTCACCGGCAGCCTTTCCCTGCTTAACATCTCTACTTCGTCATACTCTCCAACAAAATCACCGGGCAGCTTCTTCACAGTTGCCGATCAGTCATAAACTCCGCCAAAGATAGCAAAGTTTAGCAATGTCTAAGCGCCGCTCTCGTTCCCCAGAGGGAGACGATGGCTACAGAAGGTCCCGTCAGAGAGACTATGGTCCTTCTAGAGACCAACGCGACAATGGCGGTGGTTCTCGTGATGATCGTAATCGCTATTCTGGCTCTGGTCGAGATAATCGGTATGCTATTAGCCCCCCCCGTTTGATCCATTTACTGTTAACCGTCTCAAATGGCCCTTGCTTTAGTACTTTGCGGTGCGCAGCAAGCTTTGGCAATTAACTAACATTTTTCATTTTTTAGCGGTGGGCAAGATATCCCGTCCGCTTATAGTGACGACCGTCGCCGCCACAGAGATTCAGGTACCTCTTATGGAGATGATCGTCGTTCTAATCGTGGTGATGACCGTCCTCAGTAAGTTGATGAGGCCCCCTCACTTACAGCGCCGTGGGAATACCTTTTTTTTTCCGCTCACTTCGTTAATTTTTGGACAGATACAATGATCGCTTCTCCAGTTATACCGATGACCGCAGAGGCTACTCTGGCCGTATTACCGGAACTAACGATGTCCCTATCGGCACCCGTGATGGCCGCTCGCCTCCTCGTGATTCCGGCCGTGAGTCTTCCTATGGTGGTCAATCTGGCTATGGTAGATCTGGAGGAGGCGGCGGAGGGGGCTATGGTGGTCGAGACCAAGGTTCCGATCAAGGCCGCAGTGGTATTTTTAGCCTTCCCATCCCGTGTTATGATGTTCTATCACTTTCTGAGGTGTAAATATTAATTGTGTACTTATAGGTAGTGACTATGGTCGCGGTCAGAGCGACTATGGAGATCGTGGCGGAGGCCGTGGTCGTGACAACTATGGTGGTGGTGGAGGAGGAGGCTATGGCGGCGGTGGCCACAGCGGTGGTCGCGATTACGGCGGCGGGCGCGGGGATTATGGAGGCCGTGGCGGCCGTGGCGGCCGTGGGGGCTACGGGGGTGGTGAGTGCCCCTCTTTTAATTCTGTCCTTCAATCATCTGCTTACTATGGTTACACAGATCGTGGCGGCGGTGGCCGCGGTGGCTATGGAAGCGGATACACGGCTCCGTCCGGTCCCCCTCTTCCAACCGACATTCCGATCCCTGTTAATGGAGAAGAAATCCTCCTTGTAAGTTGTAGCTCTTGGTTCTCGGCTGCGCGATCGTATATTCTTAATGTCTAACTATGTTTCCAATAGCCTGCCCGTAAAGTCCACGGCGACGGGGAACCATACAAGGTTTGGGCAAACCACTTCGTGATCCAGTCCTTGCCAAGGTTGCAACTTTATATGTATGATGTACGTTCTCTGCCTTGTCTTTCTGCGGGACCTACGCAACTAATTTCATGACTCCCAGATTCGCGTGACTGCTGCGGGAAAGAAAGAAGGTTCCAGTGAAGAGGTCAAGCAGTGTCCTCCGGCCATGATCGGTCGTATTTTGCAGACTCCACAGGCCAAAGAAATCCTCGGTGATGGTTTTGTATTTGATGGTTATTATATCGATCCCTTTGTTGCTGAATGGCTGGCTAACATATCTTAATCTAGGCGTTTCTATTGGATGGGCTACTAAAAAACTCCCGATCGAGGGTGATACTGCTACGTTTGGCTTGGAGATTCCAGGTGCTCGTCCCGGAAGGGCCTTTGGGTGCACCATTGGAGTTCAGTATGATGGCCCATTCACTTGCGACGCCTTGACCAACTGGGTTTTAAGGGAGCAACAGAAGGGAATTACTATCGAAGCCCTCGCAAACTATGAGCAGGACCAGGAAGTACTTCTCTGTCTTAAGTTTATCAACTCGCTTTTGCGTAAAGACTGTACCGAGAGGTTCGTCAGCGGCCAAGGCAATAAGTCGACTACATTCTTCGATAAATCCCGTGATGGCAATACATCCTTGACCCTCAGCTCCACTCAAGGTGTGATCGAGGCCTGGCGTGGATTTTACCAAACCGCCTCTGCCCGCTTCGGGCAGATTACAGTGAACGTCGACACTGCTACTGCCACTTTCATCAAGCCTGGGATAAATTTTATTGATGCAATCTCTAGGTTTTCCGGAGTTCAACCGGAGGACCTCGAGCGCGGATTTGACGGTAATCGCGAAAGAATCATGGAGGCTGCGAAGAAGTTTAGCGGCGTCGGATTCAAGGTCAAACATATCAAGGGTCCAAAGGGCGAGATTTCTAGGCGTGGGTTCAGACTTACGCGTTTGAGTGCTGAAGAAGATACATTCCAGATTAGAAACTGGAACACAGATGACGAGGGGAATAAGACTTTCACCCTTGAGGAAATCAGTATCGCTGAGGTGCCTCGAATCCCTTCTATACCAAATATCATTTTGCTGACATTCACACACAGTACTATTCCCGCCAATACAATATTAAATTGAGATATCCGAAACTTCCCACAGTCGAAACCAGAAAGGGAGACAAGTATCCCCTTGAGTTGTGCTTTGTTGACGATGTATTATCTTTTAATCCTTCCTTTAATATTTTGTTGTGGCACATTCTAACATTGAATTACAGGCGGAACGCTGGAAAGAGCTCCTCCAGGGAGGTGAGACTGCGGAGTTTATAAAGTTTGCGGCGGCTCCGGCATTTGCCCGCCGGAGCCAGATCGAGGAGAGCTTGAAAAAGATAGGCTGGCACAACATGAAGCCACTTGAGGAATTTGGTGTTTCTATTAAGCCACAATTCATTGAATTGGAAGCCAAAATCCTACCTTCCCCGGTTGTGGTCTTTGGCCAAGGAACTGAGAACTCTGGTCCGAGGAATGGCCGCTGGAATCTCAGGGGAAAGAGATTTTATAAAGTGAGACAGACTAGTCCTATTACCCGAGCTAGAGCATTTCGCTAATGGCTTTATCAATTTTGTAGCCTGGGACGATCAATGGTTATGGTTTGCTATACATTCCTGGTGGACATGGAATGCGTGTCGATGAGAGAGGCATTGACACCTTTACTAAGACATGTGGCCAACAATTTTCCCATTACGGAGTCTCGACAAACCCCAGATGCTCCCCCCAATGGGCCATGGCCAATCCACAAGGGGACTTTGAGCGTCAAATCCATGAGCTAATATCCAAGCTTCAGACCAGAAATGGTCTCAGACCGAATCTCCTAATTTTCATCCTTCCAAGTGTCGCAGTTGAACCATACTGCACTATCAAGAAAATTTGCGACACAACCTTCGGAATTGCCTCGCAGTGCATGGTTTTGGAGAAATGTTTCAACCCAAAGGGCCAGCTTCAGTACTTGGCGAATATTGCCCTCAAGGTCAATGTTAAACTTGGTGGATCTAATATGGTTATTGACGACCCCTTTCTCATGAAACAGCCGACGATGATTATGGGTTGCGATGCCTCACATCCGAATCCCGCGCAACGCAGAATGGATCCCCCGCCACCAACTTTTACTGCGATCTCCGCCAGTTATGACCGCCGTTGTGCAAAGTACTCAGCAGTTACGAGTTGTCAACCCGCTGGGCAGGAGATGATTCAGGACTTTGGTGCCATGACTCAAGAATTGTTGAAACGCTTCCAGGAACAGGCTAAGCGTGACCCTTCTGCTATAATTTACTTCCGCGATGGGCTTTCCGAGAGTGAGCTTGATAAGGTTGTTCGTAGTGAGCTTGCGGAGCTTAAGAGTAAGTTGTTTCCCGTCCTTGTACTTTTCTCTTCATGGCTAATAGATTGGCAGAGGTTACTAAAGCCAAGATCTCGGTAATTGTCTGTGTGAAGCGCCATCATACTCGTTTCTTTCCGCTTGATAAGGGTGATAAGAACGGGAATATTGCCGTTGGTACTGTGGTTGAAAACGGACACGGCAAAGATATCTTCATGGTTTCACATGCTGGCCTTCAGGGAACCGTTCGCCCTACCCACTACATGATGTTGCACGATGAGAACAATCTCACCGCTGTGGACTTTCAACGCATTTGTAACAACGTCTGCTATGCATATGGACGTGCTACTGTTTCTGTTAGCATTGGTTGGTTATCCTTTCCCTTTTTGGAATTAGTATTGTTCTAACGAAATCACGATTTACAGCTCCGCCGGTTTACTATGCGAACCTAGCATGTGACCGGGCTCGCTCGCATGTCGTGCATACTAACCAGGGACAGAGTGAGCTTTTGCAAGTCCATGACCTTCTCAAGTACTCTATGGTAACCCTTCCCCCCTTTTCCCCGTTGCGATGGTTGTGTGGCTGGGTTACTGATAGTTTTGTGGCACAGTGGTGGCAATGATTGGTGGATACCTTCCCGCCTTCCCTGGTGTTTGAGTCTTCAATTCACCTTCGATCAAAGGGCTGCCTGCATCGTTTTTTCTTTTCATAATTAAATTTCCTACTACTTGTCTCTCATCTTGCCTGTGCTCCGGAGCGTCTCTGGTGGTTGTGGGCTGAGCGTCATTCCCATCAAGTATGTAGAATCTCTTAATAAAACTGTTATAAAACCTGGTCAGCGTAGTCGTAATTATGTGCTTCCGATCATGAGTGATAGGTTAACCGTCGATTTCCATCCTATTCCACCCAAAATCTTTGAACTTGGAAAGTATTATTATATTAGAGCGTACTCTTAGAGATACAGTACACAGAATTACAGCTTTGAAGAGCCCAGGACCTACGAATACAGCCCCCTCTAGAGCCTTCTCCCCCATTGGACCGGAACCCCTTCACCTGATCTGGATGTCCCATCTAGCACCACCGCCTACATATCCCCTCTCCCATCGCAAGCCGTTAGAGCCCCACCTCCTCCTCGCCCCCCCCCTCCCCCAGAAGCCCCCATTTATTTTCTCCGGCATGTTTATAAGTGGTCCACCAGACCTATATGTCATCCCCCCAGCGAAGGAAAGGAATAGGGAAAATATCCTCCTCCCCGGAAAGGTACTCTACTCTGGAGAAACGTGAGGTTCCCTAGTCTCTATTCTCCGTCTGTTCTGTTGTTCGATTGGTTCCACTGGTGCTATAAATAATCAGCATCTTGGGGAGCGCAGTGCGGGTACAAGTGCAGTGATATCACACTTACAAGTAATAACGTCCCACAACACCGTGCCCAAGTGCTTAAGGTTCCAACCCTACCTTAATCTATGGCCCTCCACAATAAACCCAGGGCGCCCACCCGTGGAATACGATAACCCAAACCCGGCGAAAAAACAACCCCCGTCCGTGCCGCCCCAAGGGCGAAAACCCTTTGGCGCCCTAGGGTTTCAAAGAGGGACAGCGCCGGTGGTTCCGGGGCCGTTTTTCTCAGGTATTGTACTGCGCAGTTATGATATATAGTCTACCTAGAATGTCCGAGCGAATACCCTGGTGATAGGGGTGTGTTGGCATTATTACGAGATGTTGACGGGTTGGCGGGGTGGGGCTGTCTGAGGTCTTCTAGCCCCTGTCTGCCCCGATTTGGGAAAGATGATTAAAGATGTGTAGGGTGGTGGTCACCGAATATGATACATGTGTTACTTTACTTGCATCCTTCACTCCAAAAATCCTCCTACGGTACGAATAAGTAGTGCGCTGTGGGAGTGGAATTTGTAAAGTATATAGGGCAAGCAGGTCAATGCCAGTATATTCACTTCTATTCAGGAGCAACAAAGAGAGTGACAAAAGAATGGGGAGAGAGAGAGGGATATTGCTTAACGACGACGAGAACGAATTGATCTGATAGAGAGCACTAAGGAAAAGAATATCAATGTACAGAGTCTTTTATAGAGAGCTGGAAAGGAAACAATGGGAACGAAAAGAAGACGATAACACAATGAAAGATATGAAAATCACCACGATCCTCCCTGTTCTAACAAGATGGAAACAAGACAAGTATCACAACTCGTATCACAACTAGTATCTAAACACTGGACTGTTCCAGTTCCAACGCCACATGTTTTATCACCACTGGCCCTCGTTTCCAGCACTAGCAAGTGAAAAGATTTTTCCAAACACCGATGCTTTCTGGTGAAGCCGTCGAAACGCTAGGCCCAGCCATAGTCTGTTTCAACAGAATTAAGCGGGGAATTACCATATTGGCTCAGAGGCGGGATATTCTTAATTAAATATACGCTCTACTAGCATTAGAGATACGGGCGATCAACTCAACTCGGAACTTTACGCTGGGCAGAGTCCCTTATTATATTACGGGAACATTATATCTCCTCCACATTTAATTCCCAGACTCCATTCATCCCGGAGCACCTCTACCCTTCCCTAAGATGGCAAAGCACCCTGCAAAGGGCAGTGTCCGCAACTTACCCCCGACTTCAAAGTCCAAGCATAGCTGGGAGGGTAGGCATGGGGTGTGACTTTCCTGGGTCTTGGGTTGGATATATTAACCAATGTGAGGGAATTACAGCGCTGTGATGTCGTTGGCGTGCGGGGTGAGAACCTGGGCAAAAGGAGAAGGATTTGGGATAGGTACGGATTGGGAGTTTTTTGATGTTGCGTTTTTGGTTCTTGTTCCTGTTCTCATCACTTCATTTATTGGCTCCTCTATTGAACTCCCCCTTCTGTACAGTTGCCGGTTCCATAGCTATTCACAAAAGCGGAAAAGAGGAAAAAGTCCTCTTCCGCCTCCTTGGCTCTCGCAGCGAGTATCATATATTTAGGCTCTGCCGGTGCGCGCCCAACGTCTGCTTCACATCACCCGTCATCACTCGACAATTCTAATTCATACTATCAGACCACTTCTCGAGCCTAATAGCTGGCCGCCAGACCACAAAAGCACGCCAATACATCCACCAGAATGGTAGCCACAACACCCCCGTTTTCTTCGGCTCCAGCGACCTCCACTACGACAAAAGTGGCAGGTGGCCCATTGAGCACACAAACCTACACTGTGGCCGCAGGCAAAGAAGTCGACTCTAAAATGGACAAAACAAGGACCCCTTCACATTTAATTACCCCGGTGGTGTCGCGTGAGGCGAGGGCTTGCTCAGCATTGAGCATATCACTTTGCACTCAGTGCTTGTTCAGTTTTATGCCTCATCGTCGCACAGCCGCGCTTGGTGGGACTAGCTTCGCAAGTGGATGCTCCACCAGTCATCCAGAAATCGATACTAATATCTATTATCCTGTTGGGAGATCGATATGACCCCCGGGCTCCTTAATTCCTTGCCACGCGCTGGCGGTTTGGCTAGCCGACAAGTTGTATCATGTCCGGTCAGGCGGTTTGATCCAAATAACGGGGATTCGGTGAGTGGGGGGGGGGGAACGGTTATCAGTCCCGGTGCACTGGGGTTGTGTTGGATCCTGCGAGTTTGTAATAGGCTAAACTAGAAATAAACAAAAATATATAAAATAAAAAAACATCCTTGAATGTGGCGTTAAGATGGTAGGCAGGACCACTTTAACGTTCACTATTGACCCCTCAGCGAAATCCCTTTCGTTGTGAGGCGTGCTGTGGGAGCGAGAAAGTTAAGGAGATGATCCATTGATAGATTTGAAGGAAAGCAGAAAGCGAAGATCTCGAAGAAAAGAGAAGAGACCATAACCTATTTAAGGAGGCAAACAGAGATTGCAAATCCGCACGCCAGACAGGGAAGCATTTATGCGTAGGAATATATTTACGCTATACGGTATCATACAATAAAAAGTTCAAGCTATAATGAAGGTGAATAAAAGTGCGAAAAACATTCCCCATAATCCAATTTCCAAACCCCTACCCTAAGCTTAACACCACAGCAATCCCAACCAGCACAAAAACAAACACCAAAGCTAAAACCTCCCACTCTCTGTTCCCGAGTGACCTTCCGTGACCCGATTTCCCGCCTCACCACCACCGCCGCCACGTGAACCCCCGCGCACCCAAACCCTCAAAACCTCAGCCGTCTGACCACCCCTCCTCTCGAACTCCCTCCTCTCCATCTCCAGAGTTTCCCGGCCCTCGCAGCGAGAGAAGTACTCTGCCAGATACCGCCCCTTCTCAAGCTCCGTGCCAGAGAAGGATCCGTCGGTCATGAAGACCTCGTAGGTGCGCGGGTAGAAGTTTATAGTTTTTGTGATCGTGGTTAGTGTAACTCCCTGTGTGGGGGTAGTTGTCGTGATCGTTTGGGGGGGTGAGGACGGGGGTATTTTAGTTGTGGCTTGCTTGGTATTATTATTCACCATCATATCATACATACTATACGTTTTATGGGTCCGTCAGTTGTGTGTCTGCCTGCTGTGCTTGTCGTGGCTTGGCTCGCGCTGTGGCTCTCGGCCATCTTCTTCTTAGGTGGCGATTCATGAAATTCATACTATTGCTTAGAAACCTACGGTGCTATATAGTACATGCTATGAATCTAGTAGCTTCGGTGCCCTGACTGGTGCGATACCGGAATATAAAGAAGCGTTTGGAAACGCGGATGGGTGAGTCTTGGCGATTCTAGGTATGCTAGCATACAATAATATTTCCGACGAGTGGATTATTCGGTTTGGCTGGATACTATGCCTCCCCTCCCCCACTGGAATGGAAAGTGACTTGCCGTGTCTGTATGCTGAAGGTAACAGTAGTATTCGGAGAATGCCAGAAGCTACTAGATCGTAAAAAAAAAAAATTTGATACCGTGCCGTAAATTGGTGGCTGGGGGTACAACACCGTAAAAACGGTACCCCAAACTATAAATATAAACCTGACGCCGGATGACGGTGTGTTGCAGAAACTGCTGATGGATCAAGTTTCCTTATAGCGAGTGGACTTTAGGCGGCCGGTTACCGGGGATTAGAGGATAGTTGGGCAAAGGACTGAAAGACAAGGCCTCGGTACTGAAGAGTATGAGAAGGACTACGTGTAGGATCACACCGCCGGGTGGGGAACCAAATTGGATATATGATACCATACTCTTATGATGCCCACAGCGGCGGCGGCCACGCTGGTACCCAGGACCAAAATTTGATTCCCTTCCCTCCTGGACACCGTGAGTAAGCCCCCCCCCTTCCCCCGCATCCCATTGAGGGCTAAAGTGCTTTCTTATACTGGCGCAACCAACGGTGCCTAGTCGGTTTACAGCGAGTCATCGTGCTGTATCGTATTATATTGTATCGTACGTCACGCAGACTTACCCCCCAAACCGAAAAATAAACGAGTAATGATCTACGACGGAGTCAAAAACAAAAAAGAAAGAAAGAAAGAAAAATCAAGGACGGAGTTACGATGACCGAGTTGCCTGCTTGGAGACAGTGGCGCCCAAGTGTAGAAGTGTATGTGAGCGGGACGAAGTAGGGTAGTACTGTACTAGTACAGTGCAGCACATTAAGTGTGTCGTCCAAATGGCAATCTCTTTCAGAGTTGCTCAGTGGGGATTTGCCATGCTGTCTCTTCGTTAGTTTGGGTACTATTCGGCTCATACCTATAAAAAGGTAATGTGGTATCTTTTGGAAACATTTTATTTCCCCCGATATTCAAAACAAGTCAACTCCAAAACAAAAATAAATACCCTAGAGAAGTGGCAAGTGCTCTTCTACACATTCCGAGAGAAGGGAACAACAAC